GACACATCTGTATGGGAACCATGGTTCCTGGGTGGGCTGCAAGAAGTCACATGACTTCTCTGAACCTCAGTTTCCTCGTCTGCAAAATGAGATGATAGCTGTTCCCAAGGATTTTCCTAAGAAACAAGCTGATGAATACAAGGAAATGTGCGATGAGGTGGGGGTCTCTCTGTGCACGCACGTGTATCACTGCACGTGCATTTAATATCATTGGTCGTTGGGTGTCTGCCTCTCCAGGAGCAGTTCCTCTCCAACGCAAGGACCCTGCGTCTCCCCTGCTCTTCATCAAAATCAGTTCTCAGGGCAGCATTAACATTCAGAACTCAGAGTGTTCTAAGGCCTGCAGAGGCCCAGGCGGGGGACAGGGGGGCTGACCTGTCAAGAGTGCCCAGCTCTCCCTGCACCACAGCTTACCCTCCCGGCTCCCCTCTGCCTGGGGTCACAGGGTGACGAGCGTGGTCTCCAGGGTCAGGCTGACGTTTAAACTCCAGCTCTGCCATTGCCTAACTGGCTAACTAATTTGGCCAGATAAATGTGTTTCCGAGGATTAAAAGTGTATACCTACATCCCTTGCAAATGTTGTAAGGATTAAATAAAATACTATATAAAGGTAACGAGCACAGTGCCTCTGCCCAGCGCATAAAAGCAGTAGATCGCTGTGTTATTATTGTTGATGTTTCCGTTACTTTCCCTCTCTGAGTATGGATTGCAGCCCCTTTCTCTTCCTGCAGGGAGGAGGCCGGTTGTCCGGGCAGAGTCCCAGACCGTAGGTCGAGGGCAGGACATTCTCTGTGCCCCTTGGAGCAGAGGGGGCCTTAGGATGAGGAAAGAGGTTGTGGTTCAGGACTGGGAGATGAAGGTTCAGGCAGGTACAGGCACAGACAGGAGGTGAGGCACGAGGCAGGGAGGAGGTGACAGACTCTGGCCTTTCACTGCGGGCATGGCTGAGATGCCCAGCGCTCTCCCGCACTGGGGGCTGGCTCTGGAGGGCATGGGAAGGGCAGTGTTGGGCAAGGTTGGCTCTGACACCAAACCCCACCCGTTCCCCAGACCCACACTCTTACTCTCTGCTCTGCTCAGACTCGGCATCTCCTAATACTGATGTGATCTCTGCCTCCAACCTGTCCTGGGCCTGTGTTCGCTCCACACGGCCCTCCTTCCTCCAGAGCTGATCTCAGCCGGTGGCCTGTTTGGGGCTGTGTGATTCCCATTTGCTGTTGGTAGCTATGAAGTCTGAGTACAGCTGTGACATCTTCACAACATATTTACCAAAAGCAAAATGAAAGAGCTCATCCCCATGAAGATGGACACCAGTGACCTGTGGTTTCTTTGGGGTTTTTTATTTTAATTGGCACATCTCCGGAAAAGTGCTAATGTCATCCAAAAGAGGCATGAACTGTGAATATGCCCTGAAATAGTTGGTTTGAAAAGAGTCCTATGGGAAATGTATAAGGGCTCTAAGGATTCTTGAAAGATCCTTTCTGTGCCTTAGAGACGTGTTAAGAGAGCTTTTCATTTAAGTCTGAAGTTTGGATTGCTTACTCTGACTTTAAATCCTTCATTCTTCAGAATGGAACACGCCCCGCCCCCCGAGCAGCCCCATCCAAGGCTCACCCAGCTACATGAACCTCCCATCATATGCTCCCTGAGACTCAGAGCTTGGCTTTAAGGGAGGGAGTATTCTCCCGAGGCTTTGTGGATTTGTAGATGCAACTGTGTGCTTCACAATCTGTACTCAAGCGGTGCAAATTGATTCTAATACCAGCTTGGCCTGAATGTAAATGAGAGTAAGAATAGTAACTAATATATGCATATTTGGGCACCGCATTAACACATTATATGAATGATGCCACTTAGTCCCCCAACAACCCCGTGTAGTAGAAACTCTTTCTAAATCCCATTTCACAGATGAGAAGGCTAAGGGAGGTCAAGAGACTTGCCAAAGGACACAGAGCTAGCTAATGGTGCAGGCAGGATTTGAACTCGGTGTGATTCTAGAGCTTGTACTCTCAAACATACCGCTCCTGTGCCGGCTGGAACAGTAAATACCCAAAAGATGGATGGTGTTCAGTGTGTCCAAAGGTGTGGCAAGATGGGCATATATGCATTCTCGTGGGGGTGTAAATTGGTACAGATTTTTGGAGCACGATTTGGTAGGTCCTGCCAAAACTCTAAATCTGCTTCATCTTTTAACCATCCCCTAGGAATCCATAACACAGGAAGCCTTGGGTTTGTAAACAAAGAAATATGTATACAAGGCTTCGTGACAGCATGGAAACAATTAAATATCCACCAATAATGCTAGTTAAGTAAATTACAGACCCTCCACGCTATGGAATTCTAGATACACATCAAAGGCTTTGCTTTTTCAATAATTTGCTGGATATGGCCATGGAAAAGCCACTCTCCAGTCCTATAGAATCTAGGGTCTACCAGACAAGTTTGATGCTCCAAAGATTTTTAGCTTTTTAAATAAATTTTCTATAGTGCCCCTGCATTCTTATCTGATGGAATAACACAAATGATCACAAACAAGCAAAACTAAGCTATTGATCATGCAGATGGCGTGCAACCACTAGATGAAACAATTTACAGCAACAAGCTGTTCTAAAGCCTGCACACGTGGCTCCATCATCCTTGGAGCCTCCATATCCCTAAAAATTACAGCTAGAGTTTCATCACCATGCATAAACACTAATGGAGGGCCCAAACAATTTTTGTCGTTATATACTGCAAAAGCAAAATCAATATATCATCAGCTGGGACTTGAAAACCAAGATTTCATTATAATGCAAGGTACATCTGCAAGGCCAGCCTACATGGTGTCTATCTTAACTCCACCCACATTGATCTTACTTCTTAGTAAAGTATTTCTTCAAGGGCAAAAGGATTGTCATCAGACGGTATCTCGTTTCTTGGGTCTCATGTCTTGGGTTTCTCTTTGATGCCTCTTGACTTGGTTTACCAGAATTTAAAGATCTCCAACACTTTAAACAGCACCCAAAGGACTGCTATGATGCGGTATCTACTGACATGGAAAGTTTCCCATGGGATGGTATTAAGGAAAAAATTTGAAATCATGGTGCAGAATAAGTATGATGCGGTTTTTGTGGGGAGAGCCGTATCTAATGTGCACACACATACGCACACGCACGTAGTTGCATATGCAATGATATACACCAAACTGTAACATTCTGGAGAAGGAACCAGAAGGCAGGGTAGATGCTGGATGGACTATGGTCACTATTCGCATTGTGTGCTTCTGTGATGCTAAATCTGTCTACAGTATGCATGTACAATTCTGTTTATGCATTATTCTGTATATGTAAAATCAAAGAAAAACATATACTAGAGCCAGATGATGAAGGCCATGTAGGAAAACTCAGGAATCAAGAACTGGTCATGGGGGGTACCTGGGTGGCTCAGTTGGTTAAGCATCCAACTCTTGGTTTCGGCTCAGGTCATGATTCATGAGTTCATGGGGTCTGCCAAGACCGATCGGGATTGTCTAGGACTGGCACAGAGCCCTTCGAATTCTGTTCCTCTCACTTCTCTGCCCCTCCCCTGCTCGCTCTATATCTATCTCTCTCTCAAAAATAAATAAATAAACATTAAAAAATAATAACTGGTCATGGGAGTTGTGAGGAGCTACTGAAGGGCTGAGGCAGGGGAAGGAGGACAGGTCGTGGATTTAGGGCAACATGGAAGGGCAGGTGAAGGGGGAAGCAAGAAGGTATGGAGACTGTGGAGGAGAGCTCAGGGACTGTGAGCTGTGGGCAGTGGGTCTTGGAGCCCCTCCAGCCTGAGGGCAGGAGATGGGGGGAATGGAGGTTCACAGTAGATGTGCCTTTAACCTGCTGGAGAGGATGAATGGGGTTGGAGGAAGGGCTCGTCATGTCCATGGGATGTAGGGAGACTGACTGCAGGGTGAGTGGGTTTTCTGGGCATGTTACTACCAATTAAGAGAGATTTATCTCATCCTAACATGTCCTGCTAGGCACTACCATGCAGGCATGGCTCTAAATGGCAGCGAGATATAAGCCACAAGCAAGTCTGCCTTGAAGCTCGGGACCTGTTAGTCAGCAACAGAGAGCATTTCTCCCTCAGCGTGGTGACATTCTAGGCTTTTCCAAGTACAGTGGACAGGGTGGCTGCTGGGCCCACCAGGGAAGGGAGATCCAGGACCAGCTGAATCATCTCCGGGGAAGGTCCCTAGCCAAGCAACCTAGGAATTCGTGGTGCGTGGAAGCCTTAGCCTTGAGAAGAAGGTTATGATACCTCTGCCCGTCACTGAGGAATAGAAACCAAACAGACTGCGGCAAAGTTAAAGATCCACACAAGCTTCTGCATTTCCCCTCGATGTTGGACTTAATGCTTTCCTTCAAATTGTTAATTAGCAAATCCTTCCTCAAAAATCGATTTTAAGGGCCCATGCTACACGCTGTCCAAAGCAAATAGAGCGGAATGATATAGGTGACACAAGTGTGGCCAACCAGACTTTGGCCGGCCTCCGTCCAAGTCCAATCAGGTGTGTGGGTCTCAACAGCAGGAGAGGTCTGGGGCCGGGGTTGGGGGGGTGGTGGTGACAATCCTCCGGAGCAGGTATTGGCTACCCTGCATGCAACTCCTCATGCAGCCGGTGCCTGGACACAGAGTGCACAACCTGCCCTCCAGGCTGGGCATGATATAGAAGCATGGCCATCCAAGGCGGAGGCCGGGTCAGAGCTCCAGCTGCAGTGCGGGAGGGGTGGCCGGAGCTGGAAACCAGAGTGTGGCTCAGTGAACCCATCAGTGTGCAACACACAACAGACGCAGCGGGCACTGAGCCCCATCCCCCGGGATGGCCGAGGCTCCCGGGCTTCGCTACCGTGGGGGGGGATGGCTCCACACCTGGGCAGCAGGTAAGGGAATGAGGGTGGACGATGTCACCATGTCAAACCTCTCTTGCTGCCATGAGCCTGGCTCTCCTCACTAAACAACTGTGGTCCTTTTTTTTGCAGAGTGATGAGGTCCTCACCGTCATCAAGGCCAAAGCTCAGTGGCCAGCCTGGCAGCCTCTCAACGTGTAAGTAGCACACAGACCCTGGCCATTTCTCATACTCGGAGCCACCCACTGGCTGGCCACCACATGAGTTATGTCATTAAAGTCAGCAGTACCTCTCAGGTGCATGAGCAGGTGAGGTACACTGCCCACGTGTGGGCCTATCACACTTACCCATATCTTCTCAGGAATACGGGCCTGGTCTTTGTCTCCCCCGATGGCTCTAATACCACAGAACCGGACATAACAGTTGCCATTACGTGTTCACTCATGTTCTCGGCCACGACTGACTGAAACCAACTTCGCACACAGGTACACTCACTCTAGGCAGGTCTTACTCGTGGAAAACTAGATTGGCCCCAGGTTATCTCTTTCCTGTCTACTCTATCCCTTTAAGATTTCATCCTCCCTTGTATTTTGATGACCTAGGTATGCCGATGGCTCCCTGAAGGACTACTCCGCCAGGCAGATATGTAGGTAGGTAGGTAGGTAGGTAGGAAGATAGGTAGGTGAGTAAGTAATCATCCATCCATCAGTTTCTTGGACACCTCTCTGTAGATGGCGTACATGGACCTTGAAATCATCATATCAAAAAAACAAAACAAAACAAAACCAAATCCTATTGTGTTATCCTCTCCTTAGAATCCATCCATGACTTCCTTTGGTCTCCAGGATCACCTAGAGAGGCCCCAGTGAGCCGAACATGCCCCAGCTCCTGCTTCCTTTTCCTTAGGGCTCATGTCTTGCCTCTCTCTACTCTGCACCTCTCTCTGGCCATGCCGAGTCCTGTGCAGTTCCTTGAACGAGCTTTGGTTTCACTCCTCCTTCAAGGATGCAAGACTTGGAGCAAAGTTCCTGCCAACTGCATGAAAATGGTTTATGAAGAATGGCTTGGCCATTCTCTGGAGTCGTCTATACCCACCGATGATGGTGGTGATGGAGAGCGCAACGACACAGGCAGTGGGTGAGATTCTGCTCGGTGGGAGCAAAGGCAAAGTCAAGATGATGGGTAGAGAAGCACAGGATGGGGTAGCAGGAGCGGAGAGAGGAGTGCTCCCACACAACCAGCAGGGAGCTGGTGCCCACCTGTTTAACCATTCAGCAAATTAACCGTTCCTCCCCCACCCACGACGTGCCAGCCCTGTACACCCAGTCCCCAGCCTTTGGAACCCACAGCCATTGGGGGTGGGGGGATGGACAATAAAGAGAGGTCTCCCACCCCAGAGCTGCCCTTTGCACACCTTCGGGTGACACCATACACCATGGTGGCCGTGCACACTCCATGGGGATAAATGTTATGATGAGGTTATAAGTGGTTCTGGAAGCCTAGAGAAGGGGCACAACCCAGCCGAGGATTGAGGAGGGGTCATGGAGGGCCTTGTTCAGAAGGTATCATATGGGGCTGAGTCTGGAAGGAGGCTCCTTGCCCTGGATTGGCCCAGGTCTGGACAGAACTGAGGCCCTAAGTGGCGACCTGAGGAAAGAGAGACAGGCCCACACCTGGACAGCTGACCAAGGGCAGCCGAGCTGGCTGCGTAGAGGCCTTTCCTGGCTTGCTGTGACCTCCTCTGAGGAAGCTGGGGCCAGAGTGGTTGGAAACCTGCCCAGCCCTGGAAATGCCTTCCCCTCCAAGGAGAAGCAGCAGAGGCAGGGTCTACTGCCCCCAGCTCTCCCCTGGTAGGGGGGCATTTGCCTGTCTCAGGCCTGTCCCACCAAAAAACACCGATGTGAATTCACCGAGGCCCTGAGGCCCCTTCACATCATTAACGTCAGTTAGGAAAAAACACCCACCGTGAATCTTGTGCGCTCAGGCTCTCCTCAGCTGCCCCCAGCTCCCAAAACTGCATGTGGACGAGTCCTCACCTTGGGCTCAAAACCAGGCAGGGGCTGGGGGCATCTGGGCCAGAGTTTGCAGATGCCAGTGTTGATACCACTAGGGAAACCTGATCCCAGTTTTCCCTTAAGGAGCCCCGGGTTTAGGAAGGTATAAATGGCAAAGCAGGGTGCTTCTGGAAGGAGAGCGGAAAGGAGGAAGAAAAAGCAGGGAGCAGAGAGCTGTCCTCTTGTCTCTAGCGCCTACTGTGTGCCAGGTACCCTGCCAGGACTTATGTTCCTCATCCCACTCCATCCTCATACTAACCCCATGAGGTAGGGGTCTGGAGCCTCACTTTGCAGATGAGACAGAGGCTCAGACCTCAGCAGCCAGCTCCACTGGCGGAGGAACTAGAATTCCAACCCTCCCCAGCTGCCTCCACTCCCTGTGCCCCTTACTTATTACTAGGCCCCTCCAACTACGTAACAAGTCAGTCAGTGTCCATCTTTTCACCAATCAAGACATATATATATCTGCCAGTCAGACTTCGGACCAGCATGAAATTCACACTGTGACCACAACCAAATTGTCTGACTCCTGCCCCAGAACAAAACAAAACCGTGACTTTCACTTACCTTGTGTCCTTCCGTTAAGGATGACTGAAACATTTCATTGCCTCAACAAACATTTATGGCCGGTCTCTAAAGGGAAGTACTGTCAAAGATACTTAGGAATACAGTGCTGAGCAGAGCAGAGTTTCTCATGAACTCACAGTTTAGTGAGGGAGAGACATTAACCAAATGCTGACAAATGTGACATGTCTGTGAAGATATAAGGTACCATGAGAGAGCGTGACGGGGACCCTGACCCAACCTGAAGGTCAGAGAAAGCTTCCTTTAAGGGATGGCCATTGAGCTAAGAGTTAAGGAACCAATAGGAGCTGACTAGGTAAAGAGGCAAAGAAAGGGGAGAACATTCTAGAAAGTCTAGAGAGACTATCATGTGTAAAGACCCTGAGGAGGGTTCAGCATACTTAAGGTGCTAAACAGTTGTGGTATAACTAGGTCCAGAAATCACAGGCGAACTTGGTGTGGGGCCAAGGCACACATTAGGGATTTCGATTTTTCCATTAAGAGTAATGGGAAATCTTTGAAGGGTTTTAAGCAGGATGACAACATGATCAAATCTGCATTCAAAAGAAAACAAAACAGGGGTGTCTGGGTGGCTCAGTATGTTGTCCAACTTTTGATTTCCGCTCAGGTCATGATATCATAGTTTGTGAGTTCGAGCCCTATGTTGGGCTCTGCATTGACAGCTCAGAGGCTGTTTGGGATTCTCTCTCTCTCTCTCTCTCTCTCTCTCTCTCTCTGCCCTTCCCCCACATGAGCTCACTCTCTCTCCAAAACAAGTAAATAAACTTAAAAAAAAATAAACAGTAACAACACTCTGGCTCCAATACGAGAAGGTCAAGAGTAGTGAGGGGAGAATTCACAGTGACCTTGACAAGGATGGTGGTGGTAGAGATGGAGAGAGATACGGCGGTCGTAGAGAGGTGTAGGAGCAGAATCCCACAGGCTGCAGTGATAAGTTCAATAAGGAGAGTGAGGGAAGCAGAGACACCTGGATGAATGGGTTGGTGGGGCCACCTATTAGGTTCAGAATAGTAAATGAAGTTCAGTGGGAAAGACCATGAGCTCAGTTCTGGATGTGATATGTTGGAGATGCACGTTGGAGGACATGCCTGCAAAGGAAGGAAACAGAAAAGGAGTAGCAAACAGACTGGGGAAGGAAGCTTGGCATCAGGGAAGCCAAGAGAAGAAAGTGCTCCAGGAGAGAGTGGTCAGCTGTGTCCAGTGCACCTGAGAGATCAAGTAAGATTAGGGCTGCATCATGCCTATTGGGTTGACCAACATGAAGAAAATCAGTGACTTTATTGAGAATCCTTTCCACTGAGCAATGGCAGGCAGCCTCCAGGGGGGTGAAATGTGAACAGAAAGTGAGGTTATAGAGTCAGCAAATACAGACAAGTCTTCTGAGTTCGCTGTGAAAGAAGAGTGGCTGGAACAACTGCTCCAAGGAGGTAACAGAGTCAATGATGTTTTTTTGTCTTCTTCTTTTTTAAGATGGGGAAGACTTTTCTGTAAATTTGAAATATATATATATATTTAGGGACACCTTCCCAGCTTTCCCCCGTCCCTCAGACTTCATGAGACCCCAGTGGAACAGAATTAATTGATGGCAAACACCCAGACCTCCCAAACACCCAAACCCTCTCTGCTCAGTGCTACCAGCTTGTTAAGGGAAAGGAATTTTCCTTTGATTTTCCCATACCCCAGTCTCCCCTTCCCTCTTCCAAATCTCATTAGGAAGTCAAATTAGGAAGCCTCCACGCAGCCAAGTTTTGTTTTGCAGAAACAGCCCTGCCCCTCCTCACTGAGCCTGCCCGATTGAGGTTAATGGGATTCTATCCACCCTTGGGCCAGTGGAAAGCCGGGGTGACCTACTTTGTGAGGTCCTGCCCTGTGAAACTGACTTGCTTTTCAATGATCTTCATCTTTTTCCCCAGGACCACTTCTCAAAGGACAGCCATGAACAAAACAAATTAGCTGCTGACTTGTTTAGCTCAATAAATCAAGCTGTGGGTCTGTCAGCCCAGAGTGCAGGTAGAGACAGGAAAGACAGATTCTGAACAAAACCCACATCCTTCACCAGTTCCTCTGGCGCCTGAGTAGAAAATGACCAGGTTTCCTGCAAATCAGTTCTAAATTTCTACCACCCAGTTCCTCCAGGTTAATCTGAATGCTAGGAATTACTGGAACTTCTGCAAATAATCTTTATTCTTACAATGGATTTTATAAGGGACTGTAGTCTCTGTAATTATTTCCAGCCACTCTGTTTAACTCACATTTGATTAGACAGCTGTCCTTGTTTTTGAGACAGATGAAGGGAGGGTGGACTAGAGACAGTCACCCTCTCCAGCAATCCTGCCCCGCAAATCACCCAAGCCATGGCTCTCCCCATGAGGACAAAGGCATCTCTCTCTTTCTCAGATCAGGGCTGAAAGTTTCAGGGTCCTCCCTGTCTCCTGTAGCACTTGCCCAGGTCTGCCGATACCCTCAGGATTGTAAAGACTGGCGTTGGACTAGAGGAGCAGGCGGTAGATCTAATTGGCCAGAGGGACCCGGAGCCCTAGATGCCTCCAGGTTATAAG